TCTCTCTCTCTCTCTCTCTCTCTCTCTCTCTCTCTCTCTCTCTCTCTCTCTCTTTCTGGCCGCAACTTCGATGCGATGCATGTCTCTTGCCCACGGCGTCCTTGTTCTTTTGTGCGTCTTGCCTCGGGGCATCAGGCGGCAGAGGCCTCATTGTGGCGCTGGGGGGAAACGCTGTGCTGCATCGCATGGTTCTGTTCAGGTGGCTAACCGTGATGGCCTGCAGTACCTCAAGAATGCAAACTACAAGATGAACGATGCCATAGATGCGTAAGTTGGCCTTTATCTTTCTGTCGGCCCCTCTATCGATCGGTTCCTTCCGTCGGCTTCTTTCGCCCTTGGCTCCGGGTCCTTTCGGGCGAGCAACAGTCCCCTCTCCTTGCTTCTTCTTCTCTCTCTCTATCTGCTTCTTTTCTCCCTCTCCACATATCCGCCCTTTTCCTTTCTTCCGGTCCAATGTGCGACCCAATGCGACCCAGTGCGATCCAATGCGATCCATTGGGAATGCCATCCAAACCCGGCTCGGCATCTGGCCTCTGCATTTCGCTTTCGGCACAGCGCCCCCAGCCTCGAGCTCCTCGCTTCTGCCCCCCCGACCGGCCTCCAGGGTGCGCCGGCCCTTCTCGGACAATTTGCTGCAGCGTATATGACCTCCCGGCGCGCTTTGTGGAGTCGCCCGCTCAATCTGTCGACTGCAACTCTCGGGTCGCCCTCCTCCTTGGGCATCTCCGTCGTCAGCGCAGCAGAGAAAGGCCGAACCGCCGCCGATGTCGAGTCCTCGCTCTGAAACAAACCGTTTGCCCTGCCACCTGATGCCGCCGAACCTGGGGGGCATTCATCCGACGCACCGCCTCGGGGCCGCCTCCAGGGACCCCTCCCCAGGACCGCCCCCAAGAATACCCCCAGGCCGCAGGAGCTCCCAGGACCGCAGTACCCCCAGGGCCGCAGTAGTACCCCCAGGGCCAACCGCAAGACCAAGACCGCCTACAAAGGACGTCGATCGGCCCTCGCAAGTGCCGGCCGTCTCTCCAATAGGAGATGCCACCACTACCCCAAACCTACCCCATTCAGCCTGACCATCACACCCTCTCTACTTTGGCCCCCCCCCCCCCCCCCGGATCGTCTCCCGACCTGTGCCCACACCGTCGACCTTGGCCGTTGCATCGTGTTCTCGTCCTGCCGCTATCCGCTTGTCCATTGTCCGCTTGTCCCGCTGCTGCTCATCGACACCCCACCATCTCCTCTTGATTCTTCCCACCTCTGCTGCTGCTGCCCTTCTGCTTGCCCTTCTGCTTGCCACGCAGAGGACTCTCCATGTCCCGGATTTGATCGCCATCGTCGCTCGTGCACCCGTGCCAGCAAGGAGGATGGGCTGGAAGGGCATGAAGACTGCTCTGCCCTCTAGGGGCTTGAGTCTGTGGTCCTCAAAAAAGAAGACAGACGTGAAACAGCAACCTGGCGACGGGACTAAGGACAAGGACAAGATCCGATCTGTGTACTACCCTTGGCCCCCCCTCCCCTCCCCTCCTTCTCCTTTTCCCGCCCCTCACTGGATGGAAGACCGCCCAGCCTGGCCGGCGCCACACGCGCGAGTGCTCGAATGGCGTCCTGCGGAATTGCTTCATCGGGCCATGGACTGACCCGTCTCTCAGATTCTTTGGTGGAAGCAATGGAGGCAGTGGCGCGGGGACGCCCTCACCCCTCGAAGGCGACCTAAACAAGCTTTTCGACTCGCTGCGAGGTACGGCGGCCATGATGCGCGTCTGAGCAAGAGCAGCCACTAACTGCTGCGCCTTAGGGTCGTCCGACAACAAGGATCACATGGGCATCGACTCGACGACGAGCTACCTCACCGAGACGCTGGGCGTCAACCCTGAGAATGCCGAGCTGCTCGTCGTCATGGAGATTGTCCAGGCCCCGGCGGTGGGCGAGATAACGCGTAAAGGCTTTGTCGACGGCTGGAAATCCACGGGGTAAGGCGGAGCCTCAGCCAGTCGCCGATCGATCGTTGTCCGCTGACAGTCCATCCCAGAGTGCAAGCGACGAACAAGGACCATGCCAAGCACATCAAGTCGCTCGTCAAGAAGCTGTCCACAGACCAGGCCCTCTTCAAGAAGGTCTACCGCCACACGTTCATCGCCGCCAAGGAACAGGACCAAAAAGCCATCAGCCTCGAGTACGCCCAGATCTACTGGGAGACGCTCTTTGCGCCGCCGGGCTGGCAGTGGGCATCACAGAACCACAACTGGCTCGAGCTGTGGAACTCGTTCCTCGCCGCCAAGTGGACGCGCTCCGTCAACAAGGACATGTGGAACATGACGCTCGAGTTTGCCTACAAGTCCCTGGAGGACGAGACGCTGTCCTTCTGGAGCGAGGACGGCGCGTGGCCGAGCGTCCTTGACGAGTTTGTCGCGTGGTGCCGCGAAGAGAAGGGAATCAAGCCGGAGACGATGGACACGGATGCGTAGGGTGGGTCGCGCAGGCCGGTCGAGAATTCGGTATGCATGTCTGCCAGTGGCCGCGCACGTACGCCAGCTGGCGAGCGGCGGAGGACAACTAGAAGCGAGGAGGAACGGTGAGGCGTAACGCCGTCGGGGCTGTTCACGATGAAGGGATGCGTTGAAGATGATGACCGGCGGAGCATGTAGTATGCAGCGTTTCCAGGGCCCGCTCCGGCGAACGTCTTCAGCACAGGCAGAGAGCACACAGAGCATCAGTACATAGCAAGACACACACGATCAAAGCGCGGGACGCACTGCAAAATCGGCTCATGAATGTGTCCCTCTGTTGTACACCTGCCGGCCAGGGTGGCCTCGTATCCTACAGCCCTCCTCATCCTGGGTATGTTGATCTCGGGACTGGGTGATTGCGTCGCCTCCCTATCGTGTCGAGTGCCCCGTTTCCTCGCCCGCCTCATGCCGCTTCTGCCTCCCGCCGCCTCCCCCTACTCGTCGCGGACGTCCCACTTGATGGCGCCAAACCGGGCCATGCTGCTGAGCTTGCCGTCGCCGACCTTGACGTGGGCGCTGCGGATGACGCGCGGGTCGAGGCTGATGGTCGAGCGCATGGTCTGGTGGGCGCGGGCCGAGGCGTCGTAGCGCATGACAAAGTAGTGGCCCTCCTTGTGCTTCATCTGGGCGCGCGTGATGGGCCGCGGCAGCGCGAAGACGCCCCAGTTGGCGAGGCCGCGGACGACGCCGCCGCTGCGGAGGATCGTCTGGCCGGCTGTCAGGGCGATCCTGGCGCTTGTTAGCATGTCTGCTCTGATGGTACGTCTGCTCTGATGGCACGCCTGCTCTGATGGCACGCCTGCTCTGATGGCACGCCTGCTCTGATGGTACACCTGCTCCTGCTGCACGCCTGCTCCTCGCTGTACGTTCTTCTGATGGCATGTGAAAGGAGGCAGCAGCAGCAGCAGCAGCAGCAGCAGCAGCTCGAGGGCAATGGGAGGAACTGCGTCGGGTCATCGCGTCATGGGATCAGGGGCGTACTCTTTGACTTCGGCGAGATGGCCGGGCCGGACCTGGCGACGGTTAGTTTTTTCGATGCCTCGCTGTATGCCAATGACGGTCCAGAAGCGCACGTACAATTCCTATGAGTTCGTAGAGCATGGTGGCGGCGACATTGATGCTTGGTGATGGTCGAGGATCCAGGGGTGAGGTTCCAGCGGCGACGCCTAAATTTTGGTAGACTCGGCGTTTCGGGTGGGGCCACGGTGCGATGACGATTCTGGACGGACAACGGCACAGTGCACGAGACCCCTGGCCTTTTTTGGGAGAGCTTCGAACAGCAGCATCACCAACTGAATCACGATCAGCGTGATTGTCGTAGAATTACATGGTTCGGCCTCATTGCGGCTGTGTGCTAGTTTTACATCCATGTACACGCAGGTGCTGCATTCTGCCGATGCCAGCATTTTCGCCTGCCAACGTCGACTTCCCCTGCCGGTACCCCGACCAACATGGACATCTCCGCGCCATAGGCCAAGCAGTGCAGTGATGCTGACGCCCGTGATGCTCCTCTCTGCATCGCCTGCTGCGTGCTGCGTGCTGCGTGCTGCGTTCGTGACGCTACTATTCGCATCGCCTGCTACGCCGCTGGTCATCAGTCACGTGTCCCTCGTCTCGCGCCTCGATGCCTCCTCGGCTGCTCATCGGCTGATCCTCCCTAAATCTGCTGCTTCATCCCCGCCCGCCAGATGCTCCACGGCAGCTTCCAGCTCGCGCGCACGGCAAACGGGTTGAAGTTCGCCTTCTCCAGGTTCGTCAGGTACGCCTGCGGCGGGACGGCCTCCATGAGCACGCTGAAGCTCTGCCGAATGTCGCGCACGGCGTCGCTCTCGCCGGCCGCGTAGACGTGTCCCTCCTCGCCCTCGTGCTCGAACGCGTGCCCGGCCTCCTTGCCGAGCCGGAGGTTCTTGAGCATCTCCCGCGCCGTGATGAGGTGGTCGTTGGCCCGCGTCGCCACGGCGAAGACGGCGTCCTGGAACCCCGCCGCCTCGGGCCCCCGCCGGAACACGTCCTCCTCGCGCACGCCGGCCTCGGCGAGCACGTCCAGCGGCAGCAGCAGCACGGGGTCGCGCCCGCGCCCGACCTGCGCCGCGCTGCCGTCGGGTGCGGCCACGGCCGGCTGCGGCGCCGCGAGCACCGGCACGCCGCGCAGCACGGCCACGATGCCGGCCGCCTTGCCAATGTGGCTCGCGAGGGGGGCGGCGTGCACCGACTGCACCGGCAGCGCCGCGAGCGTCGCGTACATGAGCGTCGCGTACGTCTTCTCGGCGTACTCTTCGAGGCTTGCGAGCGTCGCAAAGGGTCGGTTGTCCATGTGCCGCTCGCGCGTGCGGATGACGCGCTGGATCCAGAACTTCGTCTGCGTCGCCGCCGCGCGGGCGCTGCCGCCGCCGCTGCTGCGGGACTGCAGCGATGTGATGGCTTCGTGGAGGAGCACGCATGTCGGCTCGGCCGGTGGGTTGCCGGCAAAGGTCTTATCGATGGACTCGCGCCAGAACTGCATGCGCATGGCGCCGATGGTCGGGTTGGTGACCACCTCGGGCAGCCGGACGAGCTCGAGGTTCAAGGTGCGAAGAGCGAGGTACGCATCGCGGACGTGCGCCGGGAGGGTTCGTTGTATCAGGTGGGCGTCATAATCGCTGTGTCTGAGAGCGTGTTCGTCAGCCTTGGATGAAGTATAGGCGAGGCAGACCTGTCATCCTACTGGAGCTGCCGCTGGCAGTACTTTCGTGCCTTGTCGACGTCGGCGGCTGTGACGATGCCGCGGGTCCCTGATCGAACCTGAACAGGCCGGAGCCTCCTCAGGCCATGGCTGAGAAGTTGTGGGCGATTCATCAGGAGACGGGTCTCGTTGCGTGATCCATCGCTCGAGGAGTAGACGAAAGAGTTAGACCCTGGGGCAGCCGCGTCTCGACTCGAAAAATCGGGAATGACGTCGCAGGGACGCTGCTTACCTAATGATCATGATGCTGACCATTGTCGAGCTGCTACAGGCGGGAACTGCACTGCAAAATGCCAGCAGAGAGCGAGAGAGAGCTAAAGTGGAATTTGGTCCAGGAGCACCGTCACGTGCTCACCCGACGCGATCATCAGTCGCGCTTTGGGGTCATTCGCGTCTCCCATTCCCCCCCCACGAACTTGCGTGCCCCAGCTGACCACACCCGACATCCAGCGCAGCATGGATCACGAGCCCCCAACGAAGCGGCGGCGCTTCTTTGCGGATCCCGAAGACGATACAGGCAGTCACCTCTCGAGCCCGGTGCTGCCCACGCCTCCCACCCATCAGAAGACTCGATTCTTTCAGAGCCCGCCCAACGCTGGGTCATCGCAGATCAAGAGCGAAGAGGCTCCGGCATTCCCTTCCTCGCCGATACCCGCTCGTGGGCCCCTCGTGGAGCAGTCCATCCAAGATGCATCAAATCGGTCTGCCCCTCTCGAGTCCAATCGGGAGGAGCCTGCCGTCTCTTTCGACCAGGACATGTTCGAGAGCTTCGTCGGCGCCAAGGTGGCGAAGGAGACGATGAGCATCATTCGTGAGAACTGCGGCGATAACCTCGAAAGAGCCGTCAACATGTACTTCGACGGCACCTGGAAGGATTTCAAGAAGAAGAACCCCTCCATCAACGCCTTTGTTCGACCACCACCCGCCGACATGTCGTCAACGCCCGAGCCAACGCCCAAAGACTCGCCAAGGCCCGTCACCCGCCGCTCCATGCCCGAATCACGCTATGTGGGCGCCTTCGGCGTCGAGGGTTGGGCCACGAGGAGCGGTACTAACCTGCTGAAGCACGGCGACGTGGTCAAGATTGAGCGGAAGAAGATGCAGCTGCCGAAAGCCCCTCGCTCCGCCAAAGGGGCCGCCACCGTGCACAAGCTCAGCGCCGCGGCCGTCGCCAAGCGAGATGACACCATTGTGCGGTTCACCACGAGCAGCGGCACCGAGATTGGAAGGCTCGTCAAGGACACGGCAAGCTGGGTGTCCACCCTGATCGACCAGCGCGCGTGCAAGTTTGAGGGCACCGTCGTCTACGCCCCGGACACGCTGCGGACCAACGATACCATCTTCATCCAGCTGCGGTGCTCGCTTCTCGCCACTGCCTTCCACAGCAGGGCCTTTCAACTAGAGGACAACAACAGGTCGACGGCCTTCTTCGACCAGGGGGAGTCGATGGAGGAAAAAGACCTTCGCATGCGCCAAGTTGCCTTGGTGCGCCTCTTTCAAGAGGTGAACCTCGATCCTATACAGTCCAATGCCGCATCTTCGAAGCAGAAACGACAGGAACTATTGCAGGCTGCGGAAATGGAGGAAAAGAAAGAGAAGGAGACGGCAAAGGCCACGGCTGCGGCAACCGCAAAGGACCAGGGCTCGTCGCCACAGTCCGACGAAGAGGAGGGCGAAGAGCTTGAGCAGGACCAGCTCGACACCCTGTACAAGAAGGCCCAATCCTTTGATTTCAACACACCAGAAGCGGAGCCTGCGGACACGTTTGCCATGAGCCTTCGCCCGTACCAGAAACAGGCGCTGCACTGGATGATATCCAAGGAAAAGGACCTCAAGAGCAACCGCGAGCCAAGCATGCACCCTCTGTGGGAAGAATATGCGTGGCCAACCAAAGACTTTGACGACAAGGATCTGCCCCAGGTCGAGGGACAGCCCAACTTTTACGTCAACCCTTACTCGGGCGACCTTTCGCTTGACTTTCCCACACAGGAGCAGCATTGCCTGGGTGGCATCCTCGCCGATGAGATGGGTCTCGGCAAGACGATCCAGATGCTGTCGTTGGTCCATACGCACCGCTCCGAGGTTTCTCTCAAGGCCAAGGCTCCGAAGACGAACCTCGAGTCGATGATTGATCTGCCGCGTCTGACGTCGAGCGCAAACAACGTGCTGCAGGCTCCGTGCACTACGCTGGTCGTGGCTCCCATGTCGCTGCTGGCACAGTGGCAGAGCGAGGCCGAGAAGGCGTCCAAGGAGGGATCTCTGAAGACTCTCATGTACTACGGGGCCGACAAGGCAAACAGCAACCTGCAGGCTCTGTGTTGCGAAGCCAGCGCTGCCTCAGCGCCCGATGTCGTCATCACCAGCTACGGTGTCATCTTGTCAGAGTTCACCCAGCTTGCGAACAAGAAAGGCGACAGGGCGTATCACAATGGCATTTTCTCTCTCAACTTCTTCCGCGTGATTCTGGATGAGGGCCACAACATCAAGAACCGCCAGTCCAAGACGGCCAAGGCCTGCTATGAAATTGCGGCCGAGCATCGATGGGTGTTGACCGGCACGCCCATCGTCAACAGGCTGGAGGACCTGTTCAGTCTCGTGCGTTTCCTACGCGTGGAGCCATGGAACAACTTCTCCTTCTGGCGCACCTTTATCACGGTGCCCTTCGAGTCGAAGAACTTCATGCGGGCGCTCGACGTTGTTCAGACTGTTTTAGAGCCACTGGTGTTGCGACGGACAAAGGACATGAAGACGCCCAACGGCGATCCGTACGTGCTCAAATGACCAAACTCGGCCGACTTTGCTAACCATGTCAGGCTTGTGCCCCTACCGCCGAAGAAGGTCGAAATCGTCGGTGTCAAGCTCGGCGAGGCGGAGCGCGGCATTTACGACTACATTTTCCTGCGCGCCAAGCAGGCCTTTTCAAAGAACATGGAGGCAGGCACCGTCATGAAGTCGTTCACCAGCATCTTTGCCCAGATCCTGCGGCTGCGGCAGAGCTGCTGCCACCCGATTCTTGTCCGCAACAAGGATGTCGTTGCCGACGAGGAAGAGGCTGGCGCGGCGGCGGATCTGGCGGCGGGCCTTGCTGATGACATGGATCTCAATGTCCTCATCGAGCACTTCTCTGCCGACACGTCAGAAACGGAGACGAATCCCAATGCCTTCGGTGCACACGTCCTCGGCCAGATTCGCGATGAAGAAGCGAGCGAGTGCCCGATCTGTTCGGAGGAGCCCATGATTGAGCAGACGGTGACCGGGGGCTGTTGGCACTCGGCCTGCAAGAAGTGTCTGTTGGACTATATGAAGCATCAGACAGACCGCCACAAGGTCCCGACGTGCCCGAATTGCCGAGCCGAGATCAACTACCGCGACCTCTTCGAAGTGGTGCGTGACGACAGCGACCTCGACATGTTCCAGAAGCCCCGGATCAGCCTGCAGCGCGTGGGCAAGAACAGCTCGTCCGCCAAGGTGGTCGCGTTGATCAGCGCCCTCCGTGAACTGAGGCGCGAGCATCCCCGCATGAAATCGGTCGTGTTCAGCCAGTTCACTTCGTTTCTGACTCTGATCGAGCCGGCGCTGGCCAAGTCGAACATCAAATTCCTGCGGCTCGACGGCACCATGGCGCAAAAGGCCCGCGCGGCCGTGTTGAACGAATTTCAGGAAGCCAACCAGTTTACCATTTTGCTTCTGAGTCTTCGCGCTGGCGGTGTCGGGCTCAACCTGACGACCGCCAAGCGCGTGTACATGATGGATCCGTGGTGGAGTTTTGCCATTGAGGCGCAGGCCATTGACCGCGTGCATCGCATGGGTCAAGAGGACGAAGTCAAGGTGTATCGCTTTATTGTCGAGCAAAGTGTGGAGGAGAGGATGCTCAAGGTGCAGGAGCGGAAGAAGTTTTTGTACGTCGTCCGCCTTTTTGCTTGCGTTGATTGTAGCTGACCACCTCACCAGGGCAACGTCTCTCGGCATGATGAGCGACGAAGAGAAGAAGCACCAGCGGATCGAGGACATCAAGGCCCTCCTCGACTACGAAGTCACGTCGCATTAATCACACTCACGAGCAGATGACGGTTCGGTTTCCAAACCTCGGTGCGAGGTCTGTTGCATTTTTTTTTATTAATTTTGGTCCAGGGAAGAAAAGCATGCCCTAGAGATCATAGGGCCAACGCGCACGGCATGTACAGCATCAAGAGAGGCGTTACGGTACTTTGGGAGGGCCCGCGGCACGCGGCAACATATTGTTAGATAGCAGGCCACGAGCCAACATGAGCATTTGGGCGCCCGAGTCACTCTGGCCGGTCTGGAGTCCTCCTCCGGCGCATGCGTGACCATCACCTGACCCCTGGCACATGTTGAGTGTCTCGCCCATGGGCGATTGCAGTGAACACCCGTCTGTGAATAACAGCAACGCACGACCGCGTTCAACAAGCTGGCAACAACCGTTCCTTCCTTCTCTACCTATCCTAAGACGTCGCCAGATTTTTTAATTCTTATTTCTATTTCAGCTCGTCGCCGAAATGCGCCCCTCGCACCAACGCACCTGACAAAGAAGAAACACCACCCTGGACCGCCGGTATCGAAGAAAAGCTCCATCGGCGCGCACGACCAAGACATGGACACGATCCTCCCACTGCTCAAGACGATAGCCCGCAGCCGCCCAAAGTCGACCAAGACGCCCGAGCGGCGTCCGTCCCGCGACAAGTCTCACGGTGACAAGCAGCAGCAGCAGCAGCAGCAGCGGCAGCACAACGGCGAGCTCGAGGTCCTCCTCTTCCTGCTCGCGCACAAGGGCATGGAGTACGCGGCCAAGCGGTACCTGGCGTCGGAGCACGGGACCAAGAGGCGCGAGGAGGGCCAGCCGGCTGTTGACGGCGACGCGCTCGAACGGCTGGGGCGGGTCGTCCTGGCCAAGATCATGGGCGCGAAGGACGAGGGGCGGACGGCGGGAGGGGGGGTGCGGCGTAGACATCGCGATGATGGGAACGACAGGGACGGGAACGGCAAGGAAAGGAACCACAAGGACGGGAACGACAAGCATAGGAACGGCATGAACGGGAACGACAAGCACAGACACGACAAGCACAGACACGACACGGGGCAGCGACGGCACCGGGATGCGTCGTCCGAGTCGCGGTCTCGTCACCGACGGCAGTACGGCGGACACCGGGGCCGAGACGACGACGGTGGCAAGCACGAGAGGCATCGGCGGGGGCAGCACGAGGGCGACGCGCATCGACGGCAGAGGCGGCGCGGGCCGGCGCTTGAGATGGAGGAGCTCCGCGTCAGGCTGGAGGACATGTCGGAGGCGCTCATCGGGATGAATGAGAGGCCTGCTGGGCGGCCGGGGCATGAGGAGTGCGCGTACTACGACCTCTTCGTCGCGGCGTCGACGCCGCTGCAGGATGCTATTGGGGGTGTTCTGGGGCAGATGAGGGAGGTCGAGGGGAGGAAGGGCCGCGGCCGGCGGAGGCACGGCGGCGAGCACAAGGAGAGGCGGAAGAAGGAGGTGCCGGAGCCTGAGGTCAGTCGGGGGCGGACGAGGAGGAGACAGGAGCATGGGCGATAAGCTGGGAGAGCTCGGTGACCTCGTATCTAGTAATCTACTGACTATACGATTCTGTGGTTCAAAAGGTCGAATGAGGGAAAGGTCTAGTCCCCGAGAATAAGAAGGGGAACTGGTGCCTACAAAGCCTAGCTAGGAGGTTTGTTCCCAAGGTCATATGCTTCTTCTTCCGAAAAGTCGGCTTGGCGTTGGATTTGAGTTACTTCTTACTATTTAAAGCCCTTGATCGCTGCAGCGCACTCACAGTTCGCCTGGCTTTTTGGCAAGCCATTGAGACTCTTCATACAACACTATCATGCTAGCACTATACGCGGGTTTGCCTCTGCGGCACCACCCAGTGAGTGACAACTGAGCATGGGAGAGTCAATCTCCTGTTTTTGCGAGCTGTAGAGAGGGCACCGGATGCGCAAAAAAATATAGCAAGCCGTCTCTACTCCTCCGAGGAGGTCATGTCAAATACGGCCCGGCTCTTGACATCGAGTGTCCAGATCACAACCGGAGAAGCAGCCGTCAATGTAAATGATCTACATGAAACCACAAGAGCCGACTCGAAGACGATTCTTTATCAGACCTGGCTTTCCACTCGGAAAACCGCCGAGTCGGCGAAAGGCACACCTCTTTGCTAACATCGCTGCTTGTTGACGGGTAAAAGGCGAGCAGCAGCTGGCCGACCCGATGGAGAAAACTGAAGTGCAAAGACTTGGCGACGAGGAACCACAGCAAAAGCATCGTCGAAATCGACCATCATGAATGGCTGCCATATTGGGCTTTTCTTGAATGGATGGGACACGGGATTCCCTAGCCGAGCGAGATGCCAAAGTGAGATGCCAAAGTGGGAAGTGCATGGATTGAATGGGAAGTTGCACGGGCCGGAGAATGACTAAGCAAGACTCCAAACGCATAAGGCAGGAGCATCCGACAGCTGGCTGTCCTGATTGGTTCGGAGGGTTCATAGTCATGTCCCGAAGCCTCGGAACACAGGCAACACAGGCACTTCATCTCCTCAACACGACCCATCTTGATCCCCTCTTCGGACCACCATGATACGCTTCCCACACACTCATCGTTCGAACCTCCGAGATCTGCAAAAGGGAATCCCCTCTCTCTTCACTGCGGAGCCCAATCCCTACCCCCGAGAGTAAGACCCCGGTCTACACGCGATGGACCCTCCTCGGAAGGTGGGCCCCGTCTCCCCTAGGCGCGAATCTCGACCCAAACGCCTGAAGATTGACGTGGCCTGCGAGACCTGTCGTGCCAAGAAAGTCAAGTGTGATGGCGTGCGGCCCTGTGAGTGGTCTTGATACTCTTTATCTCATCACGAGGCACCTACACCGGGTACACCTTCTTTTCATCGAGCAGAAGCATGACTGACTGACTGTGACTGTTGGTAGCTTGCGGCTATTGCTCCAGGAAGCTCAGCCTTCGTGACAACTGCCGATACAGCAACGATGCGAACTCTGAGGCGGACCCGAAAAAGGGTACCCCCAGACGCGACAGTCACCTCCTGCAGCCGCCGTCCAGCGGTCCGCACCGTCCAGCCAGAGCCCCGAATGGCAGGGCCTCGGGGACACTTTACCTCCCCCCCATCCAACCGTTGTTAACGCCCAGGGCACCACCCCCGATGAAGCCACCCTCGCAGGACACCCACTCGCCGACAGGATCGACCACCCCCGGGAGTCGAGCCGGAGCGGACCCCAGGGAGGCTAGACCCCGTCCGCGTCCCGGCCCCGCCGCCATCACCACTAGCCCCTCTGTCATTGACTCGATGACGGCCGTCGTTGACGAGGGCACCAGCACCCGCGAGTTCTTCGGCAGCAGTAGCGCCGGCTCCTTCACCGCGCAGATCAAAAGGGCGATCGACGCCCGCCTGGGCAAGGCCAACGGCGGGCCCTCTCGTCAAGCCGCGCCGTCTCGCTCGTCCCTCTCCATCATGTCGACCCACTCGGCCGAACACCCCGCCTCGGACGTGTCCTATGTGTTGCCGCCTCGCCGGCAGGCCGACCACCTCATGGATCTCTACTGGTTCTACGTCGACCCCCTCTACCCGTTCCTCAACAGACAGCGCTGGAACCAGACGTACAATGCCATCTTTGCCGGTGGCGCCATTGACGCCGATGAGCGCATATTCATGGCCTCGCTCAACGTCATCTTTGCCCTCTCCACACAGCTCCTCGAGGCCTCGACGCCGGAACAGAGGGAAGAGCAGAGCTCCGTCTACTTCCAGCGAGCCCAGGCCCTCCTGCCGATGAACCCCTGGGATGCGGGGTCCATCGACCTTGTCCAGTGTTTACTCCTCACGAGCCAGTACCTGCAGAGCACTGATCACCCGCACCAGACCTGGATGGTCGTCGGATCGGCCATCCGGACGGCACAGGGTCTCGGCCTGCATCTGCCCGAGACGTCTGGCGATCGGACGGAGCTGGCGGAGCGAGAGCTCCTGCGGCGCATTTGGTATGGCTGTGTGCTGATGGACCGGTAAGTTACTGTATTTTGGGCCTTCTCCCGCTCCCTGTTACTGACATCTCGAAAGCATGGTCTCTGTGACCCACGGCCGGCCTGCCATGATCTCTGGTCATCTAGCCACAACTGTGCCTCTGCCCATGTCCTCTGCATCGTCTGCCAATGGAACAGAGGCTGCTTTGAGTGGTGGGGCAGTACATGCCGCCTTCTTCGTGAAGTCGGTCCAGCTCTACGAGATTATTCATCGGACCATCATTGCCTTCTACGGAGGGACTGTCGGATGCTCCAAAAGCAAAGAGTCCCAGGGCTCAGACTCTGGGAGCTCCGATGGTGACGACGACGACTTCGACAGGGTCGTTCGGCTGGACAGGTCACTGAGCAAGTGGGAGCAGCGTCTGCCAGTGCACCTGAGATGGACTTCGCTGGAGCACACGGCCGACGAGGTCTCGCGGCGGCAAACTGTCATTCTGCGCATGCGGTATGTCTGCACCTGCACCTGCACCTGCACTTGCACCTGCTTTGACTTGACAGAATGACTTGACAGAATGACTTGACAGAATGTTCTGACAATCTCCAGCTTCTTGCATGCTCGAATCCTCCTCCTTCGACCCGTCTTGTCACGCTTCTGTCTCGCCCCGCCGACGCCCGCCATCACATTCGGCCTCACCGATAGCCTGCAAGCACGCGTCGTCGAACAAGGCGCTCTCTTTTGCGTGTCGACTGCCCAGAACATGATTGCCGTGCTGCTGGAGCATCAGACCTCGGACAACACCATCGGCCTGCTGCCCGCCTGGTGGTACCGGGTCTACTACGTGTACTCAGCTGCGACGGTGCTGATTGCCGCCAAGCTGCGACCTGAGATCTTCCCTGCCGTCGAAATCGGGCGCTCCTGGAGTCAGGCCATGGCGGTGCTCAAGTCGCACGAGCGTTTCGGTCAGTCGGCGCGAAGATGTGTTGCTGCTCTACACATTCTGTCCTCCAAAATGCTCGAGGCAGCGCCGGGTGCTGCAAACTCGGGCCTGGGCAGCCGGGGGCGGAGTCTGGCGGAAGGCGAGACGGGCGTGCATCCCGATTTCGACGCTTCTACCCAGCCCATCCCCCACATTCAGCAGCAACTGGTCGATGAGTTCGCACCGCCGCTAGCAGATCTCGGCGAGCTCGATCTTACCGAGTTCAATTTCGACGTGAATGATCTTTCATGGCTCAACGACATGCACGCCACATGGGAGTTTCTCAACGAGTGATCCAAGGGAACAAAGGCAAAGGAAAAATCAATGAACGTTTCATGAATGCATTTTACTCAAATACCATCTTATTCTTGACGCTGCCGAGGCCGCTAATGGTCACCTCGACGACGTCGCCGTCATTCAGGTACTTGGGCTCCTTCATGCCCATGGCCACGCCCGATGGCGTGCCCGTCAGCACAACGGTGCCGGCCTCGAGCGTCGTGCCCTGGCTGAGAAACTCGACAATGGCCTCGACGCCGAACAGCAGGTCGTCGGTGCCCTCGTTCTGGCGCTCCTCGCCGTTGACGAGCGTGCGCAGGCGCAGGGACGAGGCGTCGCCGACGACGGACGGCGACACGAGCATGGGGCTCAGCGGCGCAAATTTGTCAAAGCCCTTGCTGAAGCACCACTGCGGAACGCCGCCGGCCTTTTTGGGGTCGCGCTGCCAGGCGCGCGCCGACACGTCGTTGCAGGCAAGGTAGCCAGCAATGTGTGAGAGGGCGTCCTTCTTGGCGATGTTCTTGCCTGACTTGCCGATGACGAAGGCCTTTTGGGGTCAGACTTTTTGACGAAGGAAAAAAAGGAATGGTGTCAGTGGGTTATCGACTTACAAGCTCGCCCTCGTAGTCGACGGTGCCATCCTGAGCGACCTTGGGAATGGGCACGTCCTCGTTGTGCCCTGCCACGCACGTTGCGGGTTTGATGAAGAGAGAGGGAAAGGGGGGTGGTGTGCGGCCGCCCTCCTGGACTAAATGCATGTGAGATGATGTTCGGTTGAGTTATGATGCAAGTCTTACTGTGCTTGATGTAGTTGAGGCCGATGCAGCGGATGATGGGCACGTCTGAGGGGCGCAGAATGTCGCGGACTTCCTTGACGTGCACCTTGTCGCCCCTCGTGAGGCCAGAAACCGGACTTCTGCCCTTGTACTCTACCGCCCAGAGGTCATTGGAGGCGGCGCGGGCAGCAAAGTCCTTCTCGTCAGTGACTTGGGGTTCCCCAAACGTCTCGGTGCCGTTGTCGTCGACGAAACGGATGAGACGGGACCAAGGCGCGTCAGACATGATGTGAGAATGGGCTGAGAATGACTTGATCGGGGTTCATGCGTCACTATGTCACCTCTTAGATCAATACAAGAGTGATTACCATGAACTTTCATGCACGACGAGGTGAACGTAGTTGAAGTAAAGGTGGTGGTGTTTTCCATGTGTCGCTATCGTGAGCCAATCATAGGCTGTTCCGTTCGGAAGCACGGAGACACCGGACTCGGAACGAATGGCAGGCCGAGAGTACCGAAAACCGCCCCCCCCGAGCTGACTCCGCCGAGAGCCGTTACACTCCTTCAGGGGGAACTCCTGAATCGAGCGTCCCGGATGTCACGAGGGCATTGACTCGCTCCGGCAGTTGAGATGGGCGTATGGCTCGCTTTTGTCTTCATATAGCCTCACTTCATCCTTTTGCATCTTGCATTTCCGTTGCCAAAGGCCCTTCACACCCCAAGCAGCAGCAGTAGTATCATCGCCATGGGATCCTACATCAGCGCAGAGGCGCCCGCGCAGGCGGCCGGCGATGGCGAGACGAAGGAGATGCAGGAATTCCTCAGCGTCCTGCCGTCGCAGCATCTCGAGCCGCTGTGGTCGCAGATGAACGTCATGGTGCCGCCGAGCCCGAACCCCACGGCCAAAGCGCACATGTGGAAGTACGCCGAGGCGCTGCCGCAGCTGCAAAAAGCCGGCGCGCTCGTGCCGGAGGAGAAGGCCGAGAGGAGGGTGCTGATGCTGGTCAACCCGAGCATGCGTGCGTCAAGCAGAAAAAGCCCATCGGGAAGAAAAGGAAACCGTACTGACGAGGGCGCAGAATCCCCCTACACGACAGACACCATCTACGGCGGCCTGCAGCTCGTCAACCCGGGCGAGACGGCGCCGGCGCACCGCCACCTCGCGTTCGCGTGCCGCTTCATCATTGACGGCGAGGGCTTCACGGCTGTCGAGGGCAAGAAGATGCCCCTCGTCCGCGGCGACGTGGTCACGACGCCCATCTGGCACTGGCACGACCACGGCAACGAGAGCAGGGAGCCTGTGATCTGGCTCGACATGCTGAACCTGCCGCTGTTTCGCTTCGCGCCGGTTCACTTTGCCGAGGGCTACGCCGACCCGCGGTACCCCAGCACGTGAGTGTTCCTTTTTGCGAATTCATTTCCTGAGGCGTCATTCAAGAAGCGAAGAGAAGGGTCTACATGGGACGGCATGAACGAATGCTGACGGGCCAGACCCTGCGACCCCTGCGAATGGCGCCACCCCTGGGCGCCCGTGGAAGAGGCCCTCAACGCCGCCGCCGGCCCCCACGCCGTGCACCACTACCGCAACGCCGACGGCAGGCCCCTGTCCACGACCCTCGGCGTGCAGGCCGAGCGCCTGGCGCCCGGTGCGGAGGTCGAGTCCCGCGACAGCTGCTCGTACATCTACCACTGCTACGAGGGCACGGGGCGCACGGAGGTCGAGACGCCGGCGGGCGAGAAGAGCGTGTTCCGGTGGACGGCGCGCGACACGTTTGCCGTCCCGGCGTGGTCATCGGTGAGGCACGTCAACGAGTCGCGGGACGAAAGGGCGTACCTCGTCGCGTGCCACGACGGTCCGTTTTTGGACATTTTGGGGCTGAGGAGGCCGAGCAGCTGATTTTCCCGCCCCCTTTCCGTCGGGCAGAGAGAGGAGAGGGGTGGCATTCGAGAGTCCAACTGAGCATTAGCGTGCGTCTGAATACATGTGCATTTTTCTACTTTGCCTGCACCAACGACTGGTGCTGCTTCGCCCAGGCCGCATACGGAGCAGGGCTGTGTCCGCGGGTGTGCCCGTTGGTTCTCAAGGCGTGGCGAGAGTGTGTTACATGTAACCTATCATGCAGGCGTGGACCTGTCGCTTGGTCGTTCCCCAGGCAGTCTCGTTGGCCGGGTCCTGTGGGTGGCCTGAGATGGCAACCCCTCATTTTGACGAGCGTTTTCCTGTCCCGGCAGACTTATTCTAAGATTTCTACGCCCAGCACTCCTTTCTGACGCCCCCAAGGCTATCGTGCGACGAACAACGACCACCTACGGCCAACGCAACGGCAGCAACGCCAACATGGCCGAGATCGTTGGCCTCGTCGCCAGCAGCTTCGCCCTTGCCGAAGTCGTCGGCAAGATTGGAGGCGGCGTGCTCAAGCTGAAGCGCATGTGGGACGAGGTCAAGGATGTGCCTGAGTCGATCCAGGATCTGTTCAAGCGCCTCGATCTTATTCTGCCCATGGTCGCGCGTATCGCTCGAGATATCGAGACGGGTGCAACTGTGTTCGACGACATGGAAGCTGTCGAGTCGTGCATCCTGTCTTGCCAGCAGGTTATTTCGGACGAGGCGACCATGATGAACGATCTCATTGTACAAATTGATGCGACGAAACGGGTGAAACGAGTGAGGGACATGGTTCGCGTGGCTCTGAAGCGGGATGTATTGGAACGACATGAGAAGAAACTCGAGGGTATGATTCAGATCTTAATGCTCGCACATTCCGAGTATTCCAGGTTCGTTGGCTGTCCCGACCTGCGCCGTTGGGTGCAAGTTGCTGATGGTCGTTCAGGGCCTGCACCAAGGCTATTCCGACGGTCATTGTCCAGCACCTGTCAGCTTCAGGATATGTAGCAAAAAAAAGGCCCGGAGACATGAACGAAGTTGAAGAGAAGAGTGTGAGACTTGATCCATCGAGGAAACAGACCGGCCTGAGCACCTATCGAGGCATGTCCTCTCCAATTTCAACGCTCGAGCTGCCGAGGGAAAGGCAGTCTTTCTTCGGGAGCTTTGCAAGCGCAACCCGCACTTCTCAAATTGTGCATGGATCTTCTGAGTACAACATCACAGGTATACAACTTGATGAGCCCACTTGACCCTTTCCCTTGTCTGTTCAACGTAGGCTCACATGGAACAGAACGCGGGTTCCGCTTACAGCCCCCTTGGTGGTTAACGCAGCAAGCTTGGGAGCTGCGAGTGCTCTCCGGATGGCAGCTGCATTTCAGAGCTTACAATTTTGTTCCGGATGACTCGCCTGCATTTTTATCTGTCCTGAATGGTGACACGGACACTCTGCTTCGACTCTTCGAGGAAGGGAAAGCGTCCCCATTCGATGTATCCGAAAGTGGCTCGCTCATGCGTGTAAGCTTCTGTATGCGACATGAGATAGCCTGAAGAACTAAAGGAATAACTACCAGGAGGCTTTACAAATGGGACAACATAGAATCATTCGAATCCTGGTTCAACTCGGAGTCTACATTAGCCACCAAGACCTCCTGAACGCAACATACGGCCTGGGCAACATAGGAATCCACTCTAGTTCTCTCAGCGCCGTAAGGAAGGCGCAGCATGCGGAGTCATTCAAAGAATTTGTCGATTTCATCACTGCGCAGGGTTACTGGGAGCTTCACCTCACCAGTCGGTCTCGTGTGAGAGCATTATTCAAAGCCATGAATCATGGCAAAGCCTTTTTAAAGATTTTGTTACCGAAGGTCTCGGCCAATCACTACAACAAGCCCTTCAGGTATCGCTTGCGGTCCTTGAGACATATCAGGTTCAACATGAAAGAGGAAACCTTTGCATTCCTTCTCTGGCACGATGGTGTGTTGTGTCCCGCGGACATTGACGAAATTCGATCTCAGGGCTGCTCCTTCGTACACCTCGCTTCCCGCATCTCACTTATGGAAGAATTTGAAAAAGACTTGGTGGAAGCAAGGAATTATCTTTTCGAAGGATACAGATGGGGACAAAGTCCCAACGCAGCGACGAACATGAGATCGTGGCGAACATGGACCAAATCAAAATCGAGAGCCTCCGCCAAGAGTGCATGGAAAAGGCGGAGGAGCGAGATCATCAAACTGACCGCGGACTGGCACCTGCGGTATGGTGGCTCTATGCTATCGATCCACGAAGGCAGCACCTTGGCCCAGAATTCGTTCAGGTCCTTGCTCTTGACAATTTTAGACGGATGCAGGCAACTTATCACTTATTGTTCGTTTCGGACGCTCTACAAGTTTAGAGACGGGAAGTACCACCGTTGGGCGTCGGTACCAAAGGCGAGGTTGATGACTCTCACGCTTCGGTCTTGGCTGGAAGATCTTGACGAAAGCGGCATCAATTTGACGTCCTACGGCCGCGAGGAGCTGGAAATCATCAAATCCACTACCAGCGATCGAGAATACCAATATGGTCCACTTCGTCTTCGATACTTGGACCACGACGACTGCATGCCTAGAGTCCCAGAAGCAACGGACGCCACAGAGTATTGCCGTTTCCCAAGGCTTGAAACGTTCACATACGGGCCGAGCCCCAGTGACTGGAGCTTCACCTGGGACTGGGGCACGGAGGAATTCGCAGGCGACTTTTGGGCAGCGATCGAAACCCCTGCAATCTCCATCCCCGGAGCTTGGGTCCAGGAACAGCGCTACGACTATGACAGTTTATCAGAGGACATCTTTGAACGATTCGTCCCCGGAAGGGAAGAGGATGTTCCACATGTCAGACACCCCCTATTATATCCTCATCTTCTCGCTCATCACTTTGCCGTTCCACCTTCTTCTGCTCAGCCTTGCTAACACCACAAAGGAAGTCACAGAATTGTAGACAGCAACTCCCATCCACCTCTTCCTCATCATCAACCTCGCACTCGCTTCCAACGGATTCCCCCGACCACGACATCATCTCCGGCTCCTCAAGCACGCCGCCCATCATATCCGGATCATAACATCCCGCCGGATCAAAGCACCCCTCCAAGCCAGGCTCCATCGCCACCTCGGGCGGTACCAGAACCTCCTCGCCCACCGGCACAGACACAATCGGCACAAACACCGCCCTCTGCCTTTGCCCTCGCCCGCGCCGCGCATGCTGATGGCCATGCCTCTTTGCGCGCGCCCTAGGCATGTTCCCCGGCCGGCGGCACGGCGCGGGCGAGAGCGCAGGCGTCGGGCGGGAACAAGAAGCGTGCTTGGCGCCGTGGTGCTTGTGGCCCCGAGGATGATGTTTGTGGTGGTGATGGTGGTGGCGGTGGTGGTGGTGACCTTTCCGAGCACGTCGGTGGCCTTTTCCTGCCTTGGCCCTGGTGGGCGTCTTGGGCGAGAAGACGCAGTTGAAGCAGGCGTACAGGAGGGCCAGCGTGACGACGGCCCCGACGAGGGTGCCGATGAAGAGGCCGGCGATGCGGCCTCCGTCGGCGCTGCGGCGGTGGAGAGGGTGGGAAGATGGTGGTGGGAGGGGCGCCATTGCAGTCTGGGCTGTGATGATGATGCTGGGACGTGCATGGCGTGTCGTCTGTTAGTTCGAGTGCGCGCCTCTGCTTGGGACATGTTTTGAAATCTGCATCTCCAGCAGCATGGACTTTATGGTGATTCTTTCTATCTTTCTTTCGACCTAGGTGCAAGGGAAGCAGGCTAGATTGACAAGCAGGACAATACTGGAGACAAGTGCTTGACAGATAGTGCGGACGAACATTGAAGCACCAGTCAGTCCAATGTTGCCCTGGGCAAACGGTCAGAATCGCGAGCATTGTTTTCACAGCAGGCGCCGCTGGTGTCAGGCGTGCCTCAGATGTTCGAATGTGTAGCCACCTGGTGAGACCCTGGACCAACGGGTTGGATCTAGGTCGTGGCACGGGAAGATCTGGCGCTACTTGTTTGCCTGTCCAGCAAACCATAGATGACACACACCATGCTGAATATGACAACTACCGCAGTCTTGAGCCAGGGAAAATGACAAACTGGTGTCAATTTTGGAGGAAATAATACAATAGCTGAGACTGGCCAAGTATCCTTGCGGCGATGACTCGCTCGTGTAAGCCCTTCCCTCAGAAGAAAACATGACTGGCAAACGAAAAGCAGAAGAGACTGGCACGGTATGGCAACATTGATCGCTAGGACAACCCAAATTTCACAACACTAGACGTACAGTAAAACACTTTGCTCTGGGCATGTCAGCAAATGGCTAAAGTGTGTTGATGCCATGAAACTGACCTCATTTTGCAAGCTTTATCCTGCATCAAGCGGCAGCAGGAGCAGGAGCAGCATCGGCAGGAGGTGCAGGAGGCGGCGGCGGCGGCGCCCCTTCGGATGATGACTTGGAGCTTTTGGAGCCAGGTCGCCGATGGTGACGGCGGCGACGGCGGCGGCGATGGCGAGCTTTCCGCAGGGCGTCTCGATAGACGTAGAGGAAGACGCAGACGCCGATGACGAAAACTCCGAGGAGGACGCCTAGCACAATGCCCACTGTCCTGTTCGTGTTGTCGTTGTTCGCCGATATGGAGACCTGTCTGCGCTTGAGAGCGTCCGGAACAGTTGCGAGATGCTGCATCTGTGCTGCCCACGGGCCCGGGCCTGGCAAAGCCCATGACCCCGCATCACGGGCCAGGAGATCTGGCACGCGGCGGGCATGAAGTGGGATATACATGCGATGTAGCTGCGTCGGGGGTTGGGCATCAATACGAGACGCAGCGAGTGGGGAGGGCAGTTATGGGGTATCAGCATGGAAAAAACAGCAGAGTGACTCGAAAAAGACCAGCTTCAGGAACAGTATCAATACAAGAAGGAGAAATGAATAGAGTGCCACACGGTGTACTGCCAGCACGAAATTGCGCGATATATACGTGATGAGCGAGCGTGGGCTTCACTGCATCGTCCGTCTCGCTCGCACGACGGGACGGCATCACGACACAGCTCGACTTTCCGCTTGGGGCACCGAGCATCGAGCATCGAGCATGCGCCTCCGGGGAAGCGGAAAGCTGTGCTTCCTATCACGACACTCTCGACAGTTGACTGGCCAGACGCACATGAAGTCTGCAGGAGCGGCTGCACCACGTCGTTCGCTGACAATGCGGAGCGTTCGAGCCGATGCGAGGTGAGGGCGAGGTGAGGGCAGCGACGACGCTGGGTGGTTGGGCCGCTGCAGGATCGATGCCAATGGTAGTAGGCCGCCCGCAGATGGTTTCGGTGGCTTCCTAAGGGTCCTGTCCTTAAGGGTTGATGAGTAGTCGGCGCGGCAGCATCGCACCGGCTGAGGGAGGTGTTGGGGTTCATCCGGCTGTAATGCTGCATCGAGGAGACAGCAACGGGATGCCGACTGGGTGGGTGGTCGTTGGCTGGTGTGCTACCTTCGGGCTCCAATCGTCGGGATGAGGCTGGCGATGCGTCCCTGGTAGAGGCAAGAGGGGTTTCCCTGGGTTGGGATAGGTCGCACTGCCCATGCTGCCAATCGATGCGCGTCTCCGGTCGGATGTTCTGCCATTGATCTCCTTGTCAAGTTTCTGACAGGTGACGACGAGGCTTTCCAAGCATTCTGGCTTCGTATCAATGATGGACTAAGTGAAGGATTGGACCACAACCAGGAGTCTGCGAGGCATGGTGATCGGGGTGGTGGGTGATCCTATGAGTTGGCAGAGCGTAGCGAGTAATTGTCATTCGGCTTGCCCACGCATTTGATAGCAAGTCATGCCGGATGCGTCGGCTCAACATATCTTTTTTTTCGTCGTGGCCTCGATCGTCTGGTTTTGCAGCGCGTCTCATCAATGAGGTATCACATGATCGTCGGTTAGGCTAATGGATGGAGTTGTGAAGATTCGAGGCAGCAGCATGAGGAAGCACCAGGCCGGGCTCATGGGTGCTGGGCCCCACTACGTCCTGCCTCTCCTTTCACTACCTACCTTACCTCCTGCTAGGTAGGTACCTAGGTAGGTACCTAAGGTAAGGTAGGGTAGGTACCTACCGAACGCACCTACCAGCTTCTTTTCGTCGGGGTCGTTGGGAGAAGGTACACCCGCTGTAACACTTTCCCTTCGTCAACGTGGAAACGTCTCCCCGCGCGTCGACCATCTTGCTCCCCTCGGAACCGCTGTTGGTTCTCTCATGCCCAGCCTCAGGGGAAATCGCCCAAACGTGCTGCCCCAAGACATGACACTTCTCACCGAGCGGCAATATGATCACCTCAGCGTTGACCCCTCATGACAATCGACAATGGATGATAAAGGCTCGAGGGCGTAGCTCGACCCTCTTTGTCGACATCATTCCCCTCGAAGCCTCTAGGCCATACAAAAGAACGCCTTTGGTCCAACGACAACTTCGGCCTCAACGCCTAAATAAAACAAAGAATCACGCTCCAGCCTTTGAGGCCTGCATTCCTGGTGCACCCCTCTTCCGCAGGGCGACGCATCTCCGACGGATCTGGCTCGATGCCCCAACCATGTATAATCCTTCGGTGGCACGTCTCGACCACAAGTCTGTCTTTGGCTTCTCACCTGGAAGCCTGTTGCAAGCTCCATCATCCCCAGTCCGACCTGCCACGCACTCAGCACTGCCGCCATGTGTATCCTGCTGACCCGCTATTTTCGGTGCTGGCAAGCACCAGAACGAGAAGAAGATCCGAAAGAAAAGGGCCGCACCGATGGAGAACCTGCGCCGAAGAGACGGGGTCAACACCCGAAAGCCGGCCACCGGTCTCGCCATGTCGTCCGTTGCGCCAATCCATTCCCCCGGACCTGCCTCGTCAGCCCGGCCCTGTTCGAAGTCGACCAGCATTTCGAGTGCCCATGCCCGGATTGTTCGTGCACGTATATCGAGCCTGCGGGACGTCCAGCGGAGGTTGAGTGCTTCTACCCGAACGAAGACAAAGGCGGGGACAATACCAGAGGCAATGCCGTTACGCGCTGGCTGGATGCCGCTGCTGATGCCTACACGACCAAACTATGCGAATACCTGCTTGCCATGTTCTCCAAGGGTAACGTGACGTACAATTTTGCTGATCTCGTCGAACGTTGGAAAGTCTGCAACGTCGAATCGGCCTGCATTTTTGATCCGCAACATTTTGACACGGCTCGAGTTTGTGACTGTCAAGAGTCCAACACAGCGCCCGAGCTGAGGAATATGAGCCACGCCATCCGCTGCCGCTCCGCTCGTCGCGCCATAGCTGATGACGAGGTCGTCTTGGAGACGTATGCACAGGTGGCACCACTACCAACAGCTGCCTCGACACGCAGAGCGCTCAAGCGCGACTATCTAGACAAACACCCTCCTATCCAAGCAGCCTACCCATTCAACGGGGTCCCCGTCTTGCCGATTGCAGACTGGATCTGTGACGAGCACATATGCACGCCAGAAGAGCTTTTTGCACGCATCGGCGATGCTGTTCAGAGTTTTGAGAGCGAGGACAACTGGGACATTATTCACAATGGCGAAGGAGGCTCGAGTACATGTGGCCTTGCACAGCGTATCGAGATTCTCTCGACCGTGGCCGTTCTACTATCCGAAGACAACGGGCTGCCTAGGCGACAGGTCCAAAAGATCTTTCTGAACTTAATGAACCTCTTGCGGCCTATGGATGTCTTTTTCACCGGACCTTCCGTCATCGAGAGCTACGGGCCCGCCATGCTGGCTCTGCTTCAACTAGGAACATTCTTCGATGGCCACCAGCGTGGCGGAAATGCTCTGCTCGACCCTGACCGCTTTCGAAATCTCGTCCTCGCCCTGAAACAGAAGCGGAGTATTCGATTCACGGATGAGCTTATGTTTGACGAGGCAATCCAAGGAACGATAGCCGAAGCTGTTTCCAAGCAAGAGCTCGATGCCGACAACAGCATTGTATGCCTGCTTTGCAAAGACAAGCTTGTTGCCCTCGACCGGACATATCTCGACCAGAAAGCCGCCGAACACTCAGAAAACTACAGGGAAGATAGCATTGCTATTCGCGTCAAATGTCAGGGTCGGCATGTTTTTTGCATCAAGTGTTGGTTGGGTTTCTGGAAGTCACAGACGGCTAATGGCCAGCCCAAGGTGCAATGCCACGCATGTGACGAGGAGTTGCCCCTCAAGCAACTAGAACCGACTGTCCCAATCGTAGACGCAGACTATTTTGACCCCGCCAACACGCTGGGTTCCGGAGAGCCTCGACTGAACTGGGCCTCACTGGCTGCGGTTCCACGGCACCCGCAGGATTGGGGCGTATGGGATCCGCTCCTCGGCGCAAATTACGAGCCACGGGCGGCTCCTCCTCCGCAGGGACTCTCAGATTCGCAAGTAACAAACACTACGCGCGACGGTTCGCCGTTGCCATTGAGGAAGTCGCGGCTTCGCGCGGTTGATGAGATGAACTGGGTGGGCCGCGGCACGTGGCTGGACGATGGCAGCTTCCGCACGACGGCCCAGCGTGTCGCCATCGGTGGTCCTCTGTTTGAGCCGCAGCTCGGCAGCGTTTCTACCTTTGTGGGTGACATTTCGGCGGCACGGCGAGGCAGTGCTGGGCGTGCTGGGTGGACGGCGGTAGTGATGGCTGCAACTCAAAGCGCACAGGCCAACACAGGAATACAAGTCAGAAAAGGGGTTCGCTATCTGGGTCACACGCTTGCGCAGAGCCGTGCTGCCTATCTGGAGAGGAGGAAGAACAGAATGGCAGGCAGAATGCGTTTCGGGGCAGGTTATGCTTAGTCTTTTTTTATTTCGGGACAATGGTAATAAAGATCGTTTGTTGCATTTCTGATCCCGTCTTGATCTGGTGAAGTAACGTCGTCATAGGTAGAGGAATCTTGACTTGATCGCTAGTTTTGAGTAGGCAGTTACAGAATGGGATTCGTGGGGGCTCGGACACGAGGAACAAAGAGCACAAATGCCATGGCTAGAGACTCGTGTTATCATGGATTGCATCAATAAAGCACCTTTGTTTCTTTGACGCGTACCCGAGGTAAGGAGGCATACGGCGCATCCATTGAGAATAGCGGACTCGGGGTTCTCCGAGGCGACTTTTACTCTAATACTCATGTCTGGCCGGTCTCAAGACCTTTCGAATGAAATCAAATGAAATCTCTAAAGATTCAAAATCTCCTGAGGTACGCACAATCGATACACACCACCGAACGATGAACCCAGCTTGGACGATGACGGAACGCACTCGCGCTTCGCTGGGAGCACCACCCCAATCGCAAGCACTACAATCCGAAGACTATGATGACTTCGTCAGCCAAAGCGACGACAGCCGAAATGGCTCAGTCGCTGGTTCTTCTGTGCATACACAAGGCTCCGAAGCATCTTTCTCGGGTAAAGCTGCACTCCTAGAGGGCAGCTACGATTTTCACAACAAGTGGACTGTGACCAACGAGCCGCTCTTCGGTATGACCTCCTCCTTCTTCCCGGGTGCTTCAGAATCGTGCGACTGACGTTTTGAAATGCAGATACAAGCGAGCCCTTGGCGGACCAACAAAGTCCCTCCCGCGGGTCTCTGTCGTCGTTCATCGTGACAGACAGCGACGAGACCGACAGCGACGAGACCGACAGCGAGGACTTTGACTATAGCCCCATCTTGCGAAGAATAGCAGCTCGTGGTATCTACTCGACGTACGCCTCTGACTTCATGGACCCCGGCAACGACGTGACGACCTCCGACGACGACGTAACGACCCGGGAAGACGGCATGAGCCGCGTGCCGCGAGCCTCTAGCTTTACACCGCCGAAACCCAGCACCGCTTCTCCTCCGACGGTCATCGGTTCGAGTAGCGAGCACAGTGATCCTGGCGACTCGGTGTACGGCTCGTGTCCTTGCTCTACTTACCTCGCCGGCTGTGATTGCGGGTGTCCACGTTTGCGCTCTTCAGACGACGATTTTGAGCAAGACGTAGCTAGATCGCCAAGGAGGCCTGCGAGGCCGTGGTGGCGGCGGACGTGGGCTGTTGTCTTCGTCCTATGCGTCATCTTGTTTGTGCCGGCGCCTGGGGCGGAGTACTGGAAGATCCGTAGGTGAGCAAAGAGATGCTTGACTGCGAGAGAGGCACGCGCTGATCAGTCCACGTAGAGAGGCGTCTGCGCTGTCGCCAGTCGAGAGTCCGGGACGGGTTAGAGTGACACACCAGCTCGGCACGAGTCGATGTTGGGATCAAGCTTGCTGGAATGACTGGTTTGCTTGGCGAGCCGATGATTTGTCCCAGCTCGTGAGAGACCTGGCTTACGCTTGAGCGGAGCACGAGAAAGGAATTGGCGACGAGAAGGCGGGAAGGAATGGCGTTATGGAGCTGAAGGCGGGTATTATGAGACGTCAAAAACAAAGCAAATTGGGAGACAAGTGGCTACATCGTGCAGTGGTTGGAGTACTTCTGGGCTGGAAGAGAACTGCGTGATGTGTTGAAGGAGTTGGTTTGATGTAAATTGATCTCGACTTGCACAAAAATGATTGTTGCTTCGTAGCCGCCGGAATATTTACCTCAATCTCTTGTGAATTTAGGCACCGTAGACGACCTATTTTTGCATACAGCTCCTCGACTCCTACAGACGCTTGGTGGATGTCAAGGCCAGAAACTCTGACAGAAAGAATGCTCTACCCAGCAACTTCGATTGGCCTCGGCATCCATTTCCAGAGGCGGACATGGTGTTGATCAGAGCCGATGAGCTCCACCGATTCCTTCATACCCAAACTCACAACCTCATCAAACCAGCAACCCCGCCAATCTGGCAGAAACCGACCATGGAGAAGGGGACGAGCATCCCCAGTCCAAGTGCCGTCGATTGCCGGGATGGCCCGCCGAGCTAGATGCTGTTGTGTGGGGAAGACTCCATCGCCGGCGCTTCATCCAGATGAAATGCGGATTCCACCATTCATCTCAAACGTCGACACTAATCTCGCGCAAGGAACTGGGCTTTCTTGTTTTCTATTCTACTGTTCTTCTGTTCTATTGGCGTTGCCGGGCACGCGGAAGGCGTCCTGCCTCCAAGCACGCCAGAAGCCAAGCACCTAGTGCTCATGTGCTCATGCCCTCCGCATTGAAGGGAAGATCAACCTCGGGGCATCAGATTCAATGGGGGAGATCGTCGGCGGGTCCGCCATTCTCATGACGTCCGGCATAGCGGATGCGGGCGAGCCGCTGTCGAATCCAGCTAGGTGGCCCCGTAGCCGGGGCACTCCCGGCACAACGGCCTGTCGATCGCCGAAGGACAATCTCGTAGTGGCAGATCCGGCAAGGGGTCAGTCGAGGTGAAGAGCGCATCATGGGGGAGATGACGGGTTCCAATGCCTCGGGCGGCAAGGCCTTGGTAGTTCTTTGAACGAGACGATCGACAAATGCCAGAAAGCATTAAATACCTTGCGACAGGCTGTCATCTTTGCAGCGTCTCGTCTTCTCCCCAGTCAGCTCTAGCTATCCACCGATACGCCGATGATCATCGTCAACCATGCATCAACGCATCTCAACACTTCTCTCGCTGGGCATGGCCCTCGCTGGCCGTGAGGCCGCGGCGCAGTTTGTCTCGGTAAACGGGCAGCACTTCGCGGTCGACGGCAAGGACTTCATCTTCGCCGGCAGCAACGCCTACTACTGGCCTTTTAGCAACGTACGTGACCTGTCATTTGTCCATTTGGTCTGGGCAATGGTGATCGGCGACTGACTGACATGGTTTCAGACACAAGCGGACATTGAGCTCGGCATGAAGGCCGCCCTCGACGCTGGACTCACTGTCTTCCGGACGTGGGGCTTCAACGAGGCCAACTCGACGTATGACCCGAACGGCCTTCCACGCTACGGTCAGCAGGACCCGGCAACGGTGTTCCAGACGTGGTCGCCTGGTGGAGCGGTCGAGGTGAACCTGGCGCCGCTGGACAAGGTGGTCGCGGCAGCGGAAAAGACGGGCATCAAGCTCATCGTGACGCTGACGAACAACTGGGCCGATTACGGCGGCATGGACGTGTACACAACGAACCTCGGTTTCCGGTACCACGACGATGTAAGTTTGGCGAGCAGTAGGGCCGGTATCTGGTGACCGTGACGTGACTGACATGCAACGCCGCACACAGTTCTACCGTCAGCCGACCATCAAGGCGGCGTACAAGAAATATCTCTCTGAGGTTGTCGGCCGGTACGCCGACTCACCAGCCATTTTCGCGTGGGAGGTCGCCAACGAGTTGCGCTGTGCGGCCGATGGTACGAGGAACCTGCCTTCGAGCGGCGACTGCACGCCGGAACTCCTGCTCGAGTGGGTAGACGAGATCTCGACGCACGTCAAGAGCGTTGACGCAAACCACCTTGTGGCCACAGGTGGTGAGGGAGCTTTCAATCGCCAGTCGGACGATCACTTCTACAACGGTGGCGACGGCAACGACTTTGATGGCGAACTCAAACTGCGGAACATTGACTTTGGCGTCTTCCACTCGTACCCCGACTGGTGGAGCAAGACGGTCGAATGGACAAACCAGTGGATCCGAGACCACGCCGAGGCGGGCCGTACAGCGGGCAAGCCGGTGGTGCACGAGGAATATGGCTGGATGACGGACAAGGCGCGTCAGGAACAGCTTGGAAAGACGGCTGACAAGGGACGGATCGAGGTGTTGGGTGGGTGGCAGGCCATCTCGATTGAGGAGAAGATATCGGACATGTTCTGGCAGTTCGGCTTCTCTGGATACTCGTCGGGACGTAACCACGACGACGGATTCACCATCTTCTTGGATGATGAGGAGGCAAAGACGCTGGTGTACGATCACGCAAAGGCCATGAACGGTGTTTTTGCATGATCCAGACGCATGGGGTTTCAATAATTTATATGCTTGGGATTTCTGCTGCCTTCGTGTGGATACTCTTCGCTGACCGATGCCCACCGACTCACCGGAAAGTGTCTACAGCATATCGCTTCGGTCAGCAGCCAGGGGCCCCCGTCTGTGCCCTGTCTGATCTACAACAATCCGTGTTTCCAGATGGCATCCGAGGTTTCGCATTGGGGGCCAAGGAGCCGAAAGGGCCACTGACAACAAAGGACTGACAGCAAGGTGTCGCGTGCCATCCCGTTACTCGACAGCCATATGGGTTATACCAGGAGCTTAGAAGAACTTTGGGCATTGTCCCAAGAGGGGCGGTAAAGTCTCCTTCTCTCGTTCCTGATCTCTTGCGACCGGCTACTCGCGTTCCCATCCCAAGTTTCCCCATGCCCAGCCGTGCTGAATCATGCCCACATGCTCTTTTAGCACCGAATGCGACACCAAATGCCAAGAATAGGGTTCTGTCTTGTGTTTGATGTGTTGAGGGGAAGGATTGGCCAGAGAACAGACAGGAGCCAACACGAGACGATACTACTACCCGTCTGTTCCCCGTGAGCTGCCAGCCCTCAAGCCGGGTTGCGATTGCTTCATCGTCGCCATCTGGATGGCTGACTCTTGATCAATCGTGCCTCTCCTTCGCTGTCTCTCCTTTGGTTCTGGTTTTATTTTTCCGACTTGGGCTCGCAATCCTTTAGCCCTTGATCCTTCTGTCATTTACGCTACGACAGTCGACTTGTCTGCGTGCGCCAGCCGGTCAAATCCATGCTGTCGCCACAGTCGTGAGCATCGACCTTCGTTGCTCACCGTCGCTGGCGATGGCCCTGTCATTCCTTCTGTTTCTATGCCTCGCTGTCTTTGCGCTTGCATGGCCTCAGCTACCGGCCGACGATGGAACGTTTGGCCTTTCGATGACATTACCGGTGCCGGTCACCGGTGGTCAGGGGGATCAACGTGATGGAGATGCCTCACGACGACAGCTTCCCGTTGACGACGACGATGACGATACGGGCGCCTTTTACACACTTCCCATCATTCACTCTACGAAGCGTGGCGTCTTCAGTCGACAAATCGAGGTCGAGCTTGCCAACCGTTCTGATGTTGCCTACTACGCGCAGCGTGAGTTTTCATCTCGTCTGTACTTGAGTATTTCACTGACACTCGGACAGTCAACATTGGCACACCACCTCAACCGGTCTACGCGCAACTTGACACGGGCTCGTTCGAGCTCTGGGTCAACCCTGACTGCACCGTGCTGCGTCCTGCGGACGAGCGCTTTTGCCAAGCCGTGGGCGTCTATGATCCAGGCCGCTCATCGTCATCATCCCTCCTTTCCTCAACGGCCTCCCTTCGCTATGGCATCGGCACGGCCAACATCAGCTACGTTCGTGATGACGTCTCTTTTGCCGGATCACCAGTGCTCTCTCACGTACGTTTTGGCATGGCTACGGCTACGACAGATCAGTTCGCCGGCATTCTAGGCCTCGGTCACGGCCAAAACTACACAGTCACCTACCCGAACATGATGGATGAGCTTGTCGCTCAGGGTGCCATTCGCACAAAGGCCTACTCACTCGCCCTAGGCTCCAAGACCGAACAGCAGGGCCTCCTTGTCCTTGGCGGCATCGACACGGCAAAGTACTCAGGTCACCTCGCGGCGCTGCCCGTGATCCCCGCCGAGCAGGCCCCCGACAGGGTCGCCCGCTTCTGGGTCAACCTCAGGTCCCTCGCCCTGACGCCCCCGAGCGGCGTCACCCGCGCTCCCTACGTTGCTGCCGCCGGCCTCCCCGTCTTCCTTGACAGCGGCGCCACCATGACCCTTCTGCCACGCGCCCTCGCCGACGCCGTCGCCGCCGACTTTGGCGCCCCGCCTTCCAACTCGTCTGATGACCCCGAGGCCAGTCACAGCTTCTACGAGGTCGACTGCAGCATGGCCGACGCCCCCGGCACCCTTGACTTCTCCTTCGGCAGCAGCCTCACCATCCGTGTGCCCTACGCCGAGATGGTGCGCCGCACGCGCGCCGACCCGCCCCGCTGCGTCCTGGGCTTCGTGCCCGACGACGACTTCGCCCTGCTCGGCGACACGTTCCTGCGCTCCGCCTACGCCGTCTTTGACCTCGAGTCCGACGTCGTCTACATGGCGCAGTACCGAAACTGCGGCAAGCGCCAGATGGCTGTCCGCAGGGTCCAGGACATTCACGCCATTGTCGGCTTGTGCGAGGCGCCGGCGACAGGGGCCGCGCTGGGAGGAAAGCCAGCTCAGCCGTCACAAGCTGTGGCTGCGCCTGACACTACGCCGACGGAGGACGCGACGTCCGTGACCGGGCCGGGCGTCGTGGGTGTGTCTGCGGCTGCCGGCTTGTCATTATCTAGAGCTTGGATCTGGAGCATAGCGTTTGCCATGGTTTCGCTTCATTTGGCGTGAACTTCTTTCTATTCTCGAGCTGGTGCCCCGTAGCGTGGCACATGGCTTAATCTATTTTATTCTTCTTCTTCTTCTAGCAAACACTGCCCGCCTCCAAGCTCTCGTGCTGGGTTCTGATGCTCTACTGACTGAGACAGAGAAAACGCATGTCTATTCCCAAAATAGTCCTGGGTCCTTCGCGCCCGCCAGCCAATTCTCCATGCAGCGGTACATCCGCCCCCACGTATCTTGATCCTTCACAGTGGCGAGCTTTGTGTCAACCTCGTAGCCTAGAGACGCCTGCGCCGCCCCCAGGTAGCGGTAGCCCTCGGGGTATTTTGCGAGAATTTCGTCCGGGAACGTGGGGGCCGAGCGGCCGTCGACGGGCACCACGCGATCCTTCTCGTACACAAGCTTGACGAAGCGGACTTTCCAAGCCATCTGGGCCTGGTGCTGGTGCTGGTGCTGAACGTTGCCGTTTGTGGCACCTGTGGCATTTGGTTCCTGATCGACAGCGCTTCGACGTTCCATAGTTTCTGAGCTCATGGTAGCCTCAGCACCATCAGACTGTTGCTCGTCGGAAGGTATTTCGCCTGTGCTGGACTTCATCCCACCCTCAACCACCTTGCGGTTTGGTGCGTCAGCTTTTCTATGGGACTGGCTGATATCAATGACGGGTTGTGCCTCGCAGAAGAATAAGAAGCGACAATCGCAGTCGACATCAAACGCATGTCCCCCGTCCACAGAGGTGAAGCGCTGAGTGATGGTCGCCTTCATCTTGCCCAGGGCGCGGCCTGCTTCGCGGTTGAGCTCGACAAGGGTGCCACACTCGCGGTGCTGGATGAAGGCACCGGCAGCCTTGCCGGCTTTCGAGATGGATATAAAGTCGTCGATCTTCTGAGGGCCAGACCATGCTATTGGGAAACACTCATTAGAACCAGTTGCTTCACTGCTTTCTCAGCTCAACAAAGATTGAAAGATTCAGTAACTAATAGAATGAATCGATGCTTCACAACTGACGGAGACTCACTTGTCCAGACGGTGGCATCATCTGCAAAGAGAGATCGAAAGTTCATCCATTCCGAAGCATCGCGATAGACTGGCCAACCTTTGCAGAGCTCAGATACAACAAGACGGTCGTGAAGGTCGGCGACAGTACCGTTGATATGACTGTACTGTCGCGTGTGCGGTTCTTCAGGGGTCGTCATCTGGTCTCTGTGTGTTGTGGTACAGACAGCGTACTCGATATGAGCGTCGAGTGCATGGTCATACACCATCACGGTGAGAGTGAGAGCGAGCCCTGTTTTATACTCGACGCTGGTCTTCACGTCGGCGCATGTACAAGCGCGTTGTTTGCCTTAGAGACAGGCAATAAGAATAGCCGGCGGACAGACGAGCAGTGTCTTCGCCCCCGAGATGCTGATATATTGACCGCAGCCAAACGGGCGCTCACTTCATCCTTGCGGCCAAAAGTCCACTACGATCACCACGGTACTGCTTGGCCAGACCGAAAAGGCGGCTTGCAGCATGCGTCAAGCAAACTGCGTGAAGCAACCGCCTGCGAGTCGTTACGAGCCAGGGGCAGAGAGGCTGCAATCTAAGACAGCTGCTGGTGAATGTCGGCCATATCAACATCATCTCTGTTTTTAATTGCATGTGATCTTCCCTGGACTGTCTCGACCGAAACCATACAATCACTACCATACCGATTAGTGAGAGCCCTGCAATCGCTTCGTGTCGCCACCCTCAAAGGCCGCCATGCAACCGAGCGCTATCGGCCGGTCGAAGGACGGCGTGGCGCCGAGTGACCAGTCTCGGCCAACGGCGGCCGGGGACGTTGCCGTTGGTCAAGACGCAGGCACCCGCATGAGGAGTGACAGCGGGCGGGAGGCCGCATCGGGTGGTCCAGCGGCGCACCAACATCGGCGACGAGATCAAGGCCAGGGCCGTCATCTCCCTGCCCATCCCTCTCTCTCGTTCTCCCGTCTTGGACCTTCGATCGACCTCAACCTGTGAGGCCACATGTCCTCCGTCTCCCTGCATCTCCTTGCTCTCTTAGCCCGTCGGCGAGTTTCTGCCTACTGCTTCATGTTGCGGAAGCTTTTCGTCAAGAAAAGTTAAACCTGCAGAGGAGACCCTGCTCCAAAGTCAAAGACACTTTCGTTTGGCACCCTGGCGCGCCACTCCCTTCCAGTTTCCCCTTCTGTCTCGGCACTGCATTTCGCCGCCCGCTATGCGAGTCAGTGTGGTGCCGCTGACAGATACACACTGAAGCGTCGTGCCATGGAAGAAACAGTTCCTAGGCCATATAGAGACAGGCTCAGGCACAGATACAGTCACAAGGGGTAGGCCGGGGGTGCCACTCACACGACCCCCATTTCTGCCTCCGTCTCGCGAGCGCGCGCGTTGAGGGTTGAGGGTGACGCGAAACTTTCCCTCCCCCCGTTCCCCGCCGGAAGCTTCGGTTTTTAGTTCCACACGGCAGTGAAAAGCAGCGCAAGACAAGGCGTGCGATGCCTTGATTGCCCCCTGTCGCCCATGCTCCACGTCGCCTCGACCAGCAGCTCTGGCTTTCCCGCCAACCCTAGCCGGGGGCTGCCATGCCCCCCCCTTCATGCCACATGCCATGTGCTATAGCCCCTATAGAGGTTAGGCTTATGGGCATGTCTTTTTTAGGTTTCCGGCTTATAGGCGCAATAAGTACAGCAGCGCCCGCAGGGCCCGACAAAAACAATGGGCAATGCTGGTCGGCCATCTTCGAGACCCCGGGCGCCGCGTCACCCCCCCTGGACTGCCGAGGAAATTCACTGGTGATCTTGTATACTTTGACATTTACTCTCTCTCTCTCTCTGCGTGTGTGTCACTCTCGGATTCCCGGTATTGGGGTGTCGAACTCCTCGGGAGTAAGGTACCATTGCGACCCTGGTAATGCCGCCTACCCTGGGACCAGACAGCAAAACGCCAGCCCAGAGCTTGATTGATTAACGTCGCGCGCGTGCTGGTTGCCTGATGCCCTTTTTAGTCCTGGTGGTGGCAGCTTTTTGGTGCCGAAGACCGCTTACCACCCACCGTTTACTTTCAGGCAGACCCGACGGCGCCCCTCTGCCACCAAATCACCAACGCGTAGGCGAAAAGGCAAAACGGATATAGGCAGGTGGACAAGAAAAGCAGTGAGCCCGCCAGATGGAGAATCCCATAGGGTCAAGCAGGGGGGGGGCTAAGGGGGCGGGCGTGACGGCGACGACGCAACGTGGTGGCTGAGCGTGACGTTAGGATATCCCCCTCCCCCTCCCCTACAACAGCTCTACAGGGCGTTCAACATGCAGGGATCTCCAGGGAAGAGAAAGAGAGGTGTGGAGAAGAGGGCCCAGAAGGGATGCAGGTGAGTTGGTGGTGAATGAGTAAGAAAGCAAAGGAAGAGCGTACAGACTGTTGGCGCCCAGGATGGGGTCGGGGGCTATGCTCTGATTGCGATGCCGACGCCGCGGGTCGTGCCGTGCGCGCGGCTGGACTTGCTGTGCATCTGCTCGCTGTTACTGTCTGTCTGTGGTGCATGTGTGTCGCTTTCGCTCTCTCTGTCAATCTGCCGATCCGACTCGTTCTTTCCAAGGAGAGGTACAAGGGAGGGCGATCATGTTCCATGACAGGGTGAAACGGGCGCGAGGGAAGCTTCTACTCGCTCCATGCTGGGGGCCGTACCTGTACGGCAGAGAGAGAGAGAGAGAGAGAGAGAGAGAGAGAGAGAGAGAGAGAGAGAGAGAGATGAAGCAATCGAACGTGTCAACCGTCTGCGGTAAACGTGAGATGGTACGAGCCGTCAGAGGCAGAGACATGTGTTGCCAAGGGGCCAGGCGGGCACTCATGACGTTGTGAGATTTCGCTGCGCCACTACCCACGCGCGGACAGGACAGAGACAAGCCAGACGGTGGCAGATACCCTGATGGCTTCAGGGCAGAACACACGATGGTTGAGAAGGCCAAATAGAGGCAGCGGACACGGAGGATCACACACACAGAGAGAAAGCGAAGTGCTGTGCTCTTCCGTGCAGTGTCTTGTCTGCGTCGTGCCGCCCGCGAGTGCCGAAGGGAGCCCGTCGACTGCCGAGCATAGAGTTCCCCCGACAAGATTAGATTTTCAGAATGATACAGAAAATCCAAATGCAAATCCACAGACCAAAAACCTAAAGCCCCCGAGTCTACCTGGGTCCCCTGACCTGTACGCGTTGGGCATCTCTGGGAAGAGGGGGGGAGGATTCCCCTCGGAGAGAAATGCTGTGCCCCGGAAGCCCGGACGCTACGCCTCTTCGTACTCTGCCCTCTCTCTTTCGCTTTCCCTTCGCATCGGATTCGGCATCGGCCCTCGTCGTCTGTCCAAAGTCCGCGACCCCGTTGGTCTAAAGAAGAGGCGCCCCGCCCTTCGCCTTGGTGTGCCTGGTGCTTGACCTCATCGAGCTTTCTCAGCCTGGAACTCCATCCCATACCACGTTGGCTTATGACCGCATCTTGCACCATACCAACCCCATACGCTTTCCTACCTCTGCAACAGCAACACCGCACAAAGAGACTTGAAAAATACATCGCCCTGTAGAGGAGAAGCTCGAGATTGCAACGATACGCAGACCGATGCATCCGCCGCCATAATGTCGCTGCAATTTCTGCTCAACTCGGAGGACAGTGAGGACCGGAGCGCAGAGTGGTATCTCGCCAACACGCGAGTCGAGACGGACGTATATGGCTACAGCAGAGGACACGGCCACGGTGACAGCAGCACAAGGTCCGTTTTGTCTTGGTGTTTCGCGTCCAACGAACTTGTCATTTCTGTGGCTGTGAAACAAAATAAAACTGACGATATCGTAGCACATCCACATCCACATCTCTGGGGTCTCGCGCCCCAGCATCCCCCGTCAGCAGGCAATGGACGCCGTTGAAGCCGGGTTCCAGCCACTCGACGTGCGGCGGCCTGTCGCCGGGCAGCGACCACGGCGGCTATCCCACGTCGCCGGCGTCGTCCATGGGTCGATCGCACTCCAGCCGTCTCTCGCTGCGGCGACTCTCTCGAGCCGTCAGTCTCGACGACGAAGACTCGGCCGACGACGAGACGTGCGAGACGGTCTGCTACGGCATGGTGAGCCTCTTTCTGCCTCTCCCAGCGAACATGATTCATATCGAATGAGCCCGCAATACTGACTCGCGCCTTTTCCCCCTCAAGATCCACAAAGTTGATGTCAAGCTCATGGGCGATCTCACAACGATCGCCAAGAAACTGAAGCAGATCAGCCCCAGCTCGTCTTCCTCGTCATCCTCATCCTCGTCATCAAGGCAGCAAAAGACCTTCATCGTCACGGAGCAGCCGGACCACATCCTGCTCAGCTTCCCAGACGGCACGCCCTTTGGCTACCTGCGCTCGCACATGAAGAACGCGCTCGCCAAGCTGCTCGACCGCAAGAACCTCGCCTTCGAGGCCGTCGCCGAGGCCAAGGCGCTGCAGGACACGGTGGCCAAGGCGCGCAAGACGTCGGGTGCCGTCGCGCGCGTCGACCTCTACGTCTACGGCTCGCGGCGGCTGGCGCCCGTCGTGGGCGACAGGCTGTCCAAGTGGAAACTCTGGCTGCAGAGGCCCGAGGCAGTGAGGAGGGGCGCGCCCTACGAGAACCCGCACTTCCTGGCCTTCTGAGCGAAGCTGCGCCGGCGAGGCCCCGTGCCCTCCCTCGAAGAAAAGTGGTCCACCACCACCCCCGGCAGGCGGAAGCTTTGGGGGGGGGGGGGGGGGGAGGGGATGGGTTGCTACAGATGGGAACGCGGGCAGTTCGGGAAGCATGAACCGCCAGTGTGTATGAGTATGACCAACAACGGCGGGAGAGAGTGTGTGTGTGTAGGGGATTAGAATGCGGCGTGAAAATGGCGTGTAAGGCGTGGACACGACCGACGGCATTGGACAACCACGGTGGTTGAAGACACGGATGGACCGGATAACGGATGGGATGGGCTTTCGGCATGGACGGCCCTTGGGAAGGGCCTGGTGTAACGGACATGACGGGCGCAACCTCACAGAGGCACCCGGCATGTTTTTTTTTTCGGGGCTCTACTATTTTTTTTTCTTCCATATTTAAGTTTTAGCGAGCGATTGCTTTCGAATCACATTCCCCTAGGGAGTCCACGCAGCATCGCATGACGTTCCCGGATTCAACCATGACGACCATGTTGCTCCTCCGCCTCGTAGCCCCGGGCCTTCCGGGGGCATGTTACCTCTGGTCTGTGTGCAGAAACCTAGGAGAAGTCATTATCCGAGGTTACCAGCAAACATACGACTGGGTAGTAGCAGCAGCAGCAGCAACAATATGGCGAGCGCCCGGCAGTGAAGGGTGAGACACGATGAGCAGCATGTCACGAAGCTTGTTCGTTGCACTGGCCATGATCCATATCCATCCATCTTGCGCGCACAGCCAGCCAGCCAGCCAGCCAACCAGCCACAGTAGGCCGAGGACAATGCTTGCCAAGAGTCTCGAGAAAATCACAAGGGGACCCAGACGCAAACCTTATTCACAGCATCGCGGCGTCGGAGAAGCCTGTCAACGACGCCCGAGCCACCCGCCCCTGGACAGTACTGTACTACAGCTACCCCAGAGCGCCTCGCGGCGGAACTCACCGCACTACACCTGCTCGAACCCTAGCAGAGCAGCTCAGTTGCCGACCTTCTGGCTCTCATCTATTTGCTCTCATCTCAGCATGATTTGGGTTGCTCGTGCTCCACCGGTCATGACCGAGACGTGCAAAGTCGGCACGTAAATAGTGACTTTTCGCGGCAGGACCCGAGTCTCGCATTTCCGTACGACGGCTACAAGGCTAACAGGGCAAGGAACGTCATGATCCATGAAACTCTCTCCCTCTCTCTCTTTCTCCTCCTTCGAGGTAGCTGCCGAAAGCACTGCGGTCTCTAGCTTTATAAGCTATACATTAGCAGATTGTCATGATTACCAAGAGGATCGGTGAGCGTGGCTATGCCGCTCCTTGAACCTGGCATGGTACAGCATGGCATGGCATGACATGGCATAAAGGTAGGTAGTAATAGAAGGGGGACGCATGTTCCAACCGCTTGAAACTTTAGGCCTCTGGCGTCTTGGCGCCCACAGCCTGTTGAGGCGGACACGGTGGCGCGGATGCCATGTGCCTCGCTCGCAGCGCAAAGCCAAAGACTAAGTAGAGTAGGAATTGGTATGAGAAGGTTCAGGCAGAGCAACCTAGCCACATTGCCACAAGAAAAAAAGTGTCATCGTCTGCTTTAACATTGCAACGCCAGGCAATGTAATAAGCTTCTCTGCTTCCCTGAATGGGTGGGTTATCTCGGCTGTGTCTTTTTTTGGCGCGTGGTCAGTTGATTTGGGAGTGACATTGACGACCCTACTGCAAATGCCGGCTGTGCAGTGTTGCTTGTGCTTATATGCGTGTGTGTGTGTGTGTGTGTTTGTGTGTGCGTGACTGTGGTGCGCTTCTTCCTTCGCCCTACCTGTGTCGTGTCCACGGCGGCTCGTCAACGGTGCTCGTTCGTACGAGCTGCTTTACTGTCTGCTGATGCAGTCATTTGCTGTGCCCGAAGATCCAATCCGAAAGCGAGGCAGACGAGACAAATGCTCACCTCATCCCGTTATCAACGGAATGCCGTGAGTTTGTGCGCCGATTGACTGGCTGGTCGGCATTCAAGTTGGACCGCCTCACGACCCTCCCACCCCTGACTCGGTCTCGGGTTGCTCATCAGAACGCCAGCCCCTCCAACTAACCCCTTCCACGAGTCTACCCTAGAGACAATGGGTCGAAAAAGAATGCCGACTGCAGTGAAGGACCCCTGACTGGTCCGCCGCCAAGAATATTCCTGGCTTGGGCCCGGCGCCCTATTCTACTAAGAATCTCTCGGCACCCATCGTGTGCCAGCCCCCCCTTGCCCACCATGTCCGCTGACACAGGCGCCTGGCGTGTGCCATCGTACAGGGCTGTGCACTGCAGATTACTTGGCTGCCTGGCCTTGGGCTTGGGGGAGAGAGAGAGAAGGATAGCAAGGAAGAGCGTGAGAACACGAGACGGAGAGAGAGAGAAAGAGATGGAGACGGAGAGACAGAGAGCGCGCTGACGTTGACATCATTTCTTTGCCAGAGCCAGCCCCCCCCCGGTCCCCCTCGTCTGCCGTAAAAACAGATGCCTAGAAACGGAAGCTTCCTACATTACCTCACCTCTTCTTACTGCTAGCTTTCTCCGCGTATATTCTCCGCGAACGCGCACCCGCGCGTATTCACCCGAATCTGACGGACCTTGCCACCTAGATCCCAACTCGTTGAAATGAAGTGAAGCCACGTATGGCGGCCACCATGCCGGGATACAGAATCTATGTGCAGAATGTTCAGTACCGCGCAGCGTAGGGATGCCGCCTTGAAGTCGAGACCTCGGGTTCCTCGGCAGTTAAGCAGTCCGCCCTCTTCATGGTACCTTGGGCTCTTTATTTTTTTTCACTGCCCCAATTCGTGTGGTCCGCCCGATCCCCCCCCCGCCTGTTCGGCTCCCTGCCGAAGGGTAGACCCCCCGCTATGCCCCCCCGTTCGCGCGTGTTGCATTGCGTAGCGTTGCGCAGCGCCTCGCCGACACTTCCGTGTAGGTGCCCGTTGATAAGCATCGTGGCATGCTGTTGTTGCGCGCGCTGTCCCCTTCCCGGGCCCGAAAGCTGCTGAACTGAATTGATGCCGTTTCCGAATCGGCTTGTTGGTTCTCGTTGGTCCACCTTTGCACCACCCACCACCACAGTACCAACAGGCAAATACTTCCCTCGGCGGCTGTCATGGACTCGTCTACTCGGGACGTAGAGTCCTTTGCGGCGAGCCTCGACGCCTTCCGATCATGTCTTGACGAGAGCCAGAGCGCCGCCTTTGCCTCGGCCAACTTTGACGACCTGCAGCTTGACATACTCGCCATCCAGGCCGACCAGGATCGCCACCGCACCATGATGAACCTGCCGCGCCTCAACGCCTTTCTCGCTGGCATGGAAGGGCTCGACTCGGCCCTGCGTTGTTTTCTCTCGGACGAAATAGTCACCACTCTCATGGCCCACATCTGGGGGCCGACACGCTGGTTTTTAAAGGTGTGTTATGCGCGTTCTTGTGGTATTCCCCGCCGCCGGGTCGGGCGCCCGCCTTGCCTGCAATGCAGACTAACAAGATCCCTTGATTCCGTTTCTACAAACAGACGGCCAGTGTAGACGATTTTGCCTTTGACCAACTCCTTGACGTGTACTACTTGCTGGGTCAGGAGTTTGTGCCCTTTAACGAGTGCGAGGTATTGTTCCGCGAGTCACCAGAGACCAGACAGTGTCTGGCGAGCTTATACGACGATCTCTTACGCTTCGAAGCAGCCGTGGCCCGGTTGTTCGGCCGGTCTTGTAAGTCGACTCTGCCAGTAGGATATGAAGACGAAACTCATAAAGTCAATATCCCTCGAACGTCGTGCTGGATTCACTGACAAATCGAGCGCGCACAGCATGGCTGAAAACATTCAGACCCTCATGGCGAGGTCTCGCGGGCAATTTCGAGGCTATCGCTGTGAGCCTCAAGATGCACGCCGCCGTGATTGAGGAAGTCATGTTTCGTACCACTTCCAGCTCCCCCGCGGCCCAGCGGCGCGCGTCTGATACCATGTCAGACATTGTCTGGGACCGTTCGTCCGTTGCCGCCAAGATGCACCAGTACTCTATCCAAAGACAAGTCCTGTGGCAAGACTTCGACGCGCAAGCGCGCGACCGCATGCAGCGGCAGAGCCTCGAGGTGTCACGCTGGGTAGCGGCGTCCCCCGTGACGGAGGCAGTACATGCCGAGTATTGTCGCGCCAGGACCAGCGTGCCCGGCGCTGGACGATGGCTGCTCGGACGCCCAGAGATTGGCAGGTGGTTGACAGCACCGGACCTTGACAGTCCTGTGATATGGCTTCACGGCAAGCCCGGAATTGGTGAGATATTGCCCAGAAAGAACCATACTGAAGGCCGAGAAAACGCTAACTGCTCGTCAGGCAAGACTGTGCTCTCCTCGATGCTCGTGGAGGAATGCATCTCTCTGCGGCGGCAGGGGGAGGTTCCGCCAGCCTCACAAGTCCACTTCTTCTACTGCGAGGAAGGGGATGCCAATCTCAACACTGCGCTCGGCGTGTTCAGGGGACTTCTCCACCAGCTGCTACTATCTCGAGAAGATCTGCTGTCAACAATGCTGGACGAGGCGCGCAACGGCGGCCAGCTCACATTGAACACGAGTGAGACGGCTCGAGACCTCGTGGAGCTGTGCCTGGAAAGCCCTTCGCGACGCTACATTATCATTGATGGTCTTGATGCGTGTGAACCCTCAGAAGCGAAGCGCGTCGTGAGCCTGTTGACGCACATGGCCAAGAAGCCCGGGGTGCGTGCCGGGAGGCTGCGCGTGCTCTTCACAAGCCGCTCATCTACCGAGCTGAAAAGGGTGTTTGACGCAGCCAACATGTTGGAGATTGATCCAGCACAAAACCTTCGTGACATTCACCACTATGTGGGTGGGCGCTTGACGAAGACCACAGGCCTGCCTCTCAACGAAGACGAGACAAACCAGCTGCAGGACCAGGTGACGCGTCAGAGCGGTGGTAAGTCAGCCAAGACCCGAAGTCGTGACTTTGATG